AGGCACACATATAGGACCTTCACATTGAAGACACGTGTTATGGTCTTGAACAGCAAGCTTCGGTTCTTCAGATCGACAGAAGCTAGAACGCAGAATCCTGTATAATGGTCGACAATCATGTCCGAAAACAAGGTGCGCCGAGCGCACACAGTGACGGACGCACGGATATCGATTTATCCAGACCATTCAATCGGACACGGGGCGCTGGAGCGGTGCAATAGAAACAGTATGCGGTTTACGCATTTCGTGATTCAACACCGATTCGAGGATGGTGATGGTTACATCTCCAGCACAATTCGGTTGACTTCTGTTCTTTACTTGTATGCATATTGACCTGGGTAGGTGTCACGAATTCACATAACATAGCTGAAAGTTGACCGGCGCTGCCACCTGTGCGATCGTCCACTTTCATTCTTCCTTTCAAGATGATGATAGAGAAGATGACGGCTAGTCTTTTGCTATATGGTGATTTAGCAATTGAATACAACCATACTGTGATGTTTTTACAAATGTCTGGCGAGCTCGATAAATGTGGATTAGAATTTTGTGTGATGGCTGCAGATGACACTGAGTGCTAACTATGCACCATCGTACAATGTCTGGTTTCTTCTTTGTTGTGGGTTGAGAATCTTAATGTGTATCTAGAAATTTCACAGTCAGTATTAAAAGGATATTATTCTGCTTCTATCTTTTTCGAATCATGGTTATTCATTCCTTGCTTACGGCCGTACTCATGACTGAGGATTTTGTGTCCTACTTACTGAACGGGATGTCCCATTTCAATCCAAAACCATCATCCTCATCTTCTCCTTCCTCTTCATCGTCACCACCATCAGCAGCGGCAGCAGACTGACACAGCAACACACTAGTATTAAATATTGATGTTTAACTACCATGCAACCATGAGGGAAGAGGGTCTTATTAAAGAGCGAGATAAGTGAAGGATAGGAGTTTGGTGTGAAAGTCTTATGTTCCAACGTGGAAGGACCGAATATAACGTACGAGCAGCTTTGGGTAGCTTGGCATCATGTCGAGAGGGCTCAGTGGTTAGACCGCGAATCTACTGCCCACAAGATCCGTGGTTACAAGCCGACCACAGTATCTCCACTTCCCTAGTTTAGGCTTGGGCTCCTTGCTCGAAGAAGTCATCGAATTCAGCTCTCGTGTTTGGGGCATCAACCTTAAGTGGACAAATGTTGAATTTCAACCTCGATGTAGGCATAGTGACAACCGGTTTCTCACATATATCCTTAAACCAGATGGGCAAAATGGCTCAGAACTGTTGGAGACAGCATAGGTGATGCTTGAATCCCTTGCCTGCTTCGTGCCCCATAGCTACATTTGCACGCAAACAGACTCTCAAGGTGACATACCTAAGAAGAATGTGTTCTCATTTCGAGGAAACCCATTTCGTACACTGCATGAAGGTTGCAACCAGTCCTATAAACCTTTCTTGTCACTGAAAGATGAATATTAAAGATGTGA